GTATTTATAATTATCAGTTTTCTCTGTTCCCCCAGAGAGGCCGGGTCACCTGTACCTTATCTCTGCTCTGAGGACAAACTGGCAGAAAGAGGAGAAAAGAGGCAGAGACGCGCGTAATTCCTCTGTGCGTCTTTGCCGCGCAATGCCTCACCTCTTCTGACCACCTCCTGCCGCTTTCCTTCTTGGATGAACTTTCTCAGCGCCTGCGGGGACGCGGCCTCTGGCACTGAAATCATGAAGACGACGCGCAAATGTCGCGCGCTGCTGTCGGTGGGTCTGAACCTGGTGGCCTTGTTCTTCTCCACCACCGCTTTCATCACTACGTACTGGTGCGAGGGCACCCAGCGCGTCCCCAAGCCCAACTGTAGCAAGCAGCGGCGCCACAACTGCATCGACTACGGCGTGAACGAGACTGATCAGAACAAGGTGCACTACAGCTGGGAGACCGGGGACGACCGTTTCCTCTTCCGCCGTTTCCACACCGGCATCTGGTATTCGTGCGAAGAGAACATCCACGAAGCAGGTGGGCACATCCGTCCTGGAGTAGTACTTTAAAAAACCTAGGGGGTTCAGGACTCATCTTGCAGCAAAGACCACACGCTGTTGCTCCTGTCCCAAGAAGTCTGGTTTTGCCTTGAGCCGGAGCTGTCATAACCTACTTCTCAGAATTTTCTCTCTTGAATAAATGAAGCCAACAGGTCAATCATGCTATTATTAAACACACACATAGGAAAAATCTAAAGGTAAAAGTTTTTGTGCTTCAACCAAACTGTTGAATAGTTGATGCTTAGTTTTTTCCGACCAATGTGATGCGTTTTAGGCGCCTTGATCCGTCCTAAGTGTAGTTTTTTGTAACGTTATCCACAATGATCAACAAAAAAGTTTCCGTTTCAGATATAGAAACTACCGCTGACAAGATGGGTCAATTAAGTCAAACAAAACTATTGCTCTGATCCATCTTCTCCAAATAGCAGTCGTGATATTTATTTCGTAATTTTACAGAATATTAAGAGGAATATTATTTGGTTAGGGACTGTTGTTAGGACAAAATTATGACTCTAGATGTCAGCTTTTGGAAACATGCGTGGGCTGTTTTGTTTTTGTTTTTGTTTGCTTGTTTTTATTTATCATATTACTGACAATTTGGTGAATCAAGAAAATAATCCGCCGATTGTCGTTCATGTAGTCTATGTTGCCTTAATGTTCGTAAATCTGTCCACCTTCAATGTTTTCCGACCTCCCTCCGCGACTCTCAGCACCAAGCCCATTGGTTCCTACTGAAGATGGCTCAGTAATTTCCTAAACGTCCTGACACAGTAGGTTTTTTTTTTTAAATCTATTAAACAAACAGAAGCAAATAGTGCTTTGTTGGCAGCTATTTTCAGCAGTGGATTAATCCACATTTGGTGTTTTAGCTGGAAAGTTCACAAACTGTGTGATGGTCCATTAACACAGTAGTGCTGTAATTGTTTCCATTGTTGTGACCATCAGAAATGATGCAGCTACTGATAGCAGGTCAACAAAAGATTGAATCAGCTGTTTCTGTTATGCAAAAAGAGTGAGAAAGGGGAGGGGGGTGAGGATGGTTGTGAATGAGCCAGAAAAGCACCTGACAAACTGTGTGTGTTTATGTGTTTTGGCATTGTGTGTGGAAGTAAATAAACAGCATAGTGAGACAGGGCTTAATGATACAAGAAACGGTGTGTGTGCAGCGTGCTGCCTGAGTGTGTGATGGGAAAATTAAAGCTGTATGTGTTCTGACCAGGCAAAAATAGATGTTAAATGTTGTTATAAACTAGTGATGATATTAAGTGTATTTTCACCGTATTCACCGCAATGAAACCATGCAGGACCAGCTCTGTGCTGTGTGATGATGATGTTGGTGCAGTGGGCCAGATAAAGAACAGACACTATCAATATTTTAGTTACTGTTTTGCCTTCATTTGACAGTGACAGTTTAGAAAGAAAAATAGGAAATACAGCAGGGAGAGAGGGATATGACATTACATACAAACAGCCCACAGCTGGGTGTGTACTTGTCTTGTTAGTTCATTTGTGTCAGTAGTGATCTGTGACAGAATATATTCGGTGCACTGGCATTTTTGCGAAGAGATCAGTGAAAGAATATTTGAGATCCAAAGATGCTATTGTGCATTTTTGCATGGATCCTTGTCCAAACGACGCATACAGCACACGCCAAGTAGACTCCAGCAGGTATGCAAAATACTACTTGTACTAACAAATAACACCGACTAATAAAGAAATATCTGACATGGATTGTAGTGGCTACTTTCAAATAAAAAATTATGTTGTAATAATGTTGTTCTTGGCCAACAGTTAAAAGCTGTGAGAAGTAAAGTTGAAAGTTTATAGCATCTTGTTTGATTATCAGCTGATAAAGCCTCAACATCACAATCTGCTGCCTGATGCCACCTTCACCTTTCCCACCTTTACAACAGGTCAAATAGAGTGCAGCCACAATTCCCATCATGGCTCTGTTTCAACTCCAACCTGACATAATCAAGCAAAATAACCGAGAACGCCTTTGTGAGTCTGCAGCAGAATGTATCTGAATAATTACATATCATAGCGTATATCCTTCTCTCTCTCCTAGCTCAGTGTTTTATTGCCCAGTATTGAAACCAATTTAAAAATACCATGTTGGGTGCATGGGCTGTTATGAAACAAGCATACATGGTTTATTTGATCACTTGACTATGTGAATGATACACTTCTCCCAGCTCCTGACTGTTAATCATTACATGTGCCCTGGATAGCACAGTTTATTACACCCTGACAGGACCGGGTCAGAGCATTTGTTTTGTTTCCTGGTGAGGATGACCAAATGAATTTTACAGCTTTAATTTTATGTTTTGTTTACCTAAGTTGAAGTTTATGTTGGAACAGTTGAACAGGACCGCACAGTATTGGTGATTTGTAGATGAATGAAATGCATTCTTGTGTACATCACATTTAATGTTGCAGCTGGTGAAGGTAGAACTGCTGTTAACCACCTTATATACTTATAATCCCAGCTGACATTGGCAGGGTCCACCCTGGACAGGTCATCAGTCTATCACAGGGCTGACATATAGACAAACAACCACACACACTCACCCTCACTCCTATGGGCAATTTAGAGTCGCCAGTCATCCTAAGCTGCATGTCTTTGGACTGTGGGAGGAAGCTGGATACCCGGAGAGAACCCATGCAGGGACAGGGAGAACATGCAAAATCCACACAGAAAGGCCCCGGGTCGGCCGAAGCTCTAACTCCTGCATCACTGTGCCACTCATTTGACTAATGTTATCAAATAAATACAATATTTGCTTCTAAAATGTAAAAAAGTCATAATATGAAGCAGCAGAAAATAAAAATACTTAAGTACAGATACCGTACCTAAAATTATACTTAAGTATAATACTTGGGTAAACTTACGTGGTTACTCCTATAGACTTAAGTACCTCCTTAAGCCTAGAGGACTCATTTCTCAGGATCATGGTTAGAATAAAAACACACAGGTTGGTTAAAATAAACAGTGCTGACTATTGATTTCAACAGGAAACAAACATTAAACCAAGGCACCTATCTTAGTATAAACAAGCCTCAATGACCTGTCAAATCAATTTGTCTCAGGCTGAATCTCCTCCAAATGTGATTGCTCCCAGCCTTTGAGCCACACATTCCACATAGCATCCTTCAGTGTATCTTTATTACTGCCTGGTATGTCTGGCTTTGTAGAATAAAGAAGGTTTTGACATCACAGACATCATTTAGCAGAGAGTTATGTTAATTAACATTTTCAGTGACTCCCTGCCCTTCTTGCATTCATTCATCCTTCTTTTTCTGACCACTCTCCTTCTCTCTGTGTTGCTATTTGCCTCTATAGAACAAAACAGTCCCTTGGTTCTATGTCTTTTGTCGCCTGTAAGGGTCAGAGAAACACACACCGAGAAACCAGCCACCACTAAGTAACATTCGCTAACTTCCAAACATGTTATAGGCTGTGGAGAACACAGTTGTTGTGGATTTCAATCAGCTTTCAGACTCATGAATTTATAAATACCATAACTGAGAATATGAACTAACACCCGTATTTTTCTTTCTTTATTTAAAACATATCTAGGCCAGTGCTTCCCAATCTTGGGGGTCAAGGTAATCATGTTATAAAAATTACATTTACATCAAAGTTTTGTGAAGTACTGGATAATTGCACCTCTTCAGGCATCTACAAAAATACTCCAGTCAACCTTTAAAATCACCATTACCTGAGTATAACACGTTACCAGTGATGATGTGCCACGACTACACGCTGCTTATTTTAAGGGGTCAAATACCAAGAAGTTTAGGGACAGGTATTCTAGTTAAAAGTACATGATGAGAACTGACTGTGGCAGAAGTAATAAAATAATCTACAGGACATGAAAAATAAGAAATACAATGAAAAGAATATATGGTTCTCTGCTGGAAAATGGTGGACTGCTCCCTTAGGTTTGGGAGTGAGCTGCTCCCCTAAGCAAAGGAGTTAAAGCATCTCAGAGTCTTGTTAATGAATAAGAGTAAACTGAAGCGTGGGATTGACGGGTAAATTGGTGCAGCATCAGCAGTAATGTGTTGGTGGACCGGGCTGTTGGGGTGAAGGAGGTGAACTGGAAGGCACAGCTGGTCTATGTTACAACCCTCACCTGTGGTCATGAGCTTTGGGTAGTGACTGAAAGAATGACAACACGAATACAAGCTGCCGAAATGAGTTTCCTCTGTAGGGTGGCTGGACTCTTTCTTATGCTTAATTTAGACTCTTCAACTATGCATAGATGTTGATCCGTACCTGTACAGCAAAGGGTTTTATGAGTAAACATAGGTTGCTGATGGCTGCTGATGGTCGTACTGCTCAGTTATGTCAATTGCTGATTGAGCGCACCCTAGTTACAACATTAACGTTGCACAAGTATAAATGCAGCATCTATGCAACCATCACTGACTGACATACGCATGTGTTCCTATATGTCCAGTGATGCACAAGCGTAAATCTGGCTTTAAAGGTAGGACGTGGAGTTCAGACATCCAGAGAAGGGTTGGAGTAGAGCTACGCGCTGCTCCTTCTGGTCGAAAGGAGCCAGTTCAGGTAGTTTGGGCATCTGATTGGGCTGCCTCTTGGCTGACTTCCACTGAAGGTTTTCCTGGCATATTCAACTGGCAGGAGGCCCTGGGATAGACCTAGAACATGTTGGATGGATTATATTGTATATCTCATCTAGCCTGGGGACACTTTGGGGTCCCCCAGGATGAGCTGGAAAACGTTGCTGGGGAGAGGGAAGTCTGGACTAGCTTGTTGAATTTGCTGTCATCACAACCCGACCTTGGATAAACAGCAGACAATAGATGAATGGATGGATGATGAGAATATATGCTTTAAGTTCAAATTTACAGTGTCTGGTCATTTTGAGCTTCACTTTACCACTGAGCCTGCAGAAGAAATCTAGTCCAGTTGTCAGCTCTTTGCCTACAGGCAAAGCAGACACT